ATGTGGTGCTGGGGGATTGAACCGCGGTCCCTGTGCTTTGCTAAGCTTGTTCTAAGTACGTGCTTTAGACCACTGAGCCATCTCACCAGCCCCTTTTGAGACATTTTAAAGAATTGGTTTTAATTATTCCTTAAATCTGTGGTAAAATTCTTCAAAACCATTTGGCCTGGGTTTCTCTTCTGTAAAGTTTTAAAATTTTTAAACTGACTCTGCTATTATAGATCTATCCAGATTTTCATTTTGAATCAGTTTGGGTGTTCATCTTTCTAAAATTCCTCAGCGTCATTTGGCACACAGTTCATACGACTCAGTTTTCCTTTCCAGTACTGTACTGCCTCTTATTCTTTTTTGATTTTACTAATTTTGTTTGTGGTTAAGCTGGAGTTCCTACTTTTTTTTTCTTTGACACTTTCAAATAGAATCAGATTTTGGTTTCAATGATTTTTTTTTCCCCCCATTCATTTTAATGTTCACTTTAGTGGTCCTTCTGTTTCATTTAGGATTTAGTTGAGCTCTTTATTCTGGTGTGTTTTGTTTTGCGGTACTCGGGATTGAATGCAGTTCATGGCAGGATGGTACTCCACCACTGAGCTAACACCTCAAGCCTCTTGATAGGTCTCATTCTGTTGCCCAGGCTGTCTTGCCTTGGCCTCTGGAGTAGTTGGGGTTGTGGGTGTGTGCTTCTGCACCCAGCTTTTGTTTTTCCTTTTAACATAATCCAGTTACAAATTTTCTTCTAAAACTACCTAATTATATTCCATATGTTGTCATTTTTTTTGTTCATCTCAAATTACTTTCTAACTTATCTTACTATTTGAAACAACCTCTTCTATTTTTCTTACTTTTTTCTTTTTTTTTTTTTTCTTTTTTGTGGTACCAGGGATTGAGCTCAGGACCCTGCGCTTACCAGGAAAGCGCTTATTCTACTGAGCCATCTCCCTGGCCAACCTGTTCTATTTTTATGATTTATTGATTACTTAGGAATGTGTCGCTTAATTTCCCCATATTTGTGGATATCTTAATTTTTCTTCTAATTTTATTCCATAGTGATTAGAGAACAGACTATATGATTTGAGGGGTGTGTGTGTGTGTGTGTTGAATAGCTCCATTAATTCTAGTAATATATGTTATTATATGTAGTGTTATAAAGCTTTTCAAAACTGTTATGTATTAAGGTCTGCTAGAATGTCTGTTAAAGAATAAGATTCAGACCATACCCACAAATCTAGTTTCTTCTAAAATATATTTGTGCTGTTTTAGGGTATGAAATATTGTCTGCCTCACCTTGACATCCTATTCAGTTTTTTTCACTTGGAAAACTGTTACAGCCACACTCTGAGTAGTGAGTTACTACAAAAGCACTCTGCTTCTTTTGGACAAAGACTGCTCTCATATCTTTTTAGATGTTATCAGACAGACTATTAAAAATAACAGAGAAAAAGTAAAAGATTTTGTTTATTGGGAAAATTTAATTATGTAAAATAGCAAAATTTTGTGCCTTTTCGGGTTGTACTTTTATTTCCTTGCACTTATTTTTAAGTAAAGCTTTTAATAGAAACTTGGTGGAGATACTGTGTATTTTGTAAACATTCTATTTAATGGATCATGTCATGCTTTCCTGAAAAGGAGACTGAAACTATATCTTAAAACAATGGAAGAGTATCTCATAAAGTCTGTAGGAATATGTAAAAGGCATTAAGCCATTATATGATACGAAAAAGTCAGGCCTTACAGTGGCACCTCAGTTCACCAACTTAATTTGTTCCACAGTGTTCACTGATGTACAGTTTGCAAACAGAACCAAATTATTGGTAAGCAACAGTGTTCATGAACTATGGTACCATTGTATTTACAAGATAAAAGGTCCTCTAAGATTTAGTTGCTCTCCATTTGCAACTTAAAGGAGAAAGTTTATTTGGCTCCTGAATCTCACAGGGTTCAGTCTGCAGTTGACTAACTCCAAGGAAGAAGGGTGTAGTGAAGGACAGCTGCTTGTCTTGTGGCAGTCAGGAAGCAGAGAATGAAGGTGGGAGCTGGGGAGGGAGCAATTCCCTGCAAAGGCACACTCCCAGCAGCACTCTCTTCCACACAGTCCCTGCCACCCAACACCTCCTGTAGCTAGAACTCATCAGCGGACTGATACACTGCATGTAACTTCTGAATCCATAAATAGCCACACTTCAGAATCCATGAAAACTTTGGGAGCTGCTTTACATGCCAGTTGTAACAAAAATGTTCTGAAGTACATGTTTCTGATTATAAACTGGATATAAAAAGTCTCTTAGAATTGAAATTAACTTAAAAGCATTAGTAATGCTTTTGGTACAGGTTAAGAGCAGAAATTGGATACAATTTCAAAAAATTCATTGACATTCAAAAAAGCAATGACAACTTTTTTGTTTTTAATTAAGAATACCCTTTTAGAAAAGAAATGAAGAGAGAGCCCTAACTTTCCTGAAGGTTAGTGAGCACCAGTTAAAACAGTGTTTGAGAAAACCCATACTTGGACCTGCAAGCATGACCTTTTATTTTTCCCTTACAGTTCTGTTGGCATGAATGGTTTCACTCCAGTGAAGCATGGAAAACAGTGTTTTGAAAAGACAAAAACAGTTTGACATAAAAAGCATCTTGACCATGTACTCTCTAGTTCTAGATTTTTTAATTGGCTGATGGCAGTAATTTTCTTTACACTGCCGTCCTTATGCTGTTTTCTCCTTACACTGTTTGAAGACTTTCTTGTGAGTCTTGTTCAAAGTATATTAAGAAATGGTGACATTTAATGGATAGGGATAGCCAGCATATTAATTACTAATCAGTACTATAATTTTAAGAATGGGCTCTGGCCCAGGCTAGTCTCAAACTTAGGGGCTCAGTGATCCTCCTGCCTGTCAGCCTCCTGAGTAGCTGGAGCTAGATGTATACTGTTGTGTATGGCTTCTAGTTCTTTTTAGACAGACTGAATGAGCAGGGAGGAAAAGAAGAAGTAAGTAAGGGGCTATAGGAGTAAAAGAGGTCAGCTACCCACGTGATTATTTAAAAGGAAAAGTTATGACTAGGTTAGTTATGAAAAATTATTTAATAATTTCATACTCCTGAAAGTAAAACAGTATATTTAATTATGACAATAGTGCTTTCAGCAATTCAACTTACTTGAAAAAAAGAATCTATGATTTAGATAACTGATAAGCATTTTTTTCTTATGCTGCACTTATCTTTTATTCATCATTTCAATTCAAGTTATTGGGCCGGGGAGATGGCTCAGTGGAATAAGCACTTCCCTGGCATGCACAAGGGCCTGAGTTCAATAAGTTCAATCCCCAGTTCCGCCAAAAAAAAAAAAAAAAATCAGTTGACGTTATTCCCAGATAAACAGCTTCAGAGAACAATAGAGCAACCACAGAGTAGCACAGACTGGTGAATCTAATTTCTATAGTGAGCAAGCTGCATACAGTTTCAGTATTGTTCAGAATCATCATTTATTTACATTAGCATAATGTATCATAGGAAGAGCAACATAGTTAGTAAAAGGAAATTGTGCTTTATATGTATATTTTTTCAATTACCCTGGCATTGATCTACACTTTTTCTATTTCATTGACTTTGTAACTGATTTTAAGGTAAAATTACAAAGTTCTTAAAATGAATCTTTAAAAGTATATATTGGGGGCTTGTCCAATAGCTCAGTTGGTTAAAGTGCACTTGGACAAATGCAGTCAGGCACAGGGGACCACAGTTTGATCCCCAGCCCCAAAAGCTGCCCCACACCCACCCTTAAGGCAGCCAGAACTAGCTGAAAAAAAATTCCTAAAACTATACATTGTGGGCTAGCCAGATAGCTCAGCAGACTAAAGCACCTGCTTAGGCAGAGCGCAGCGGCCAGGGTTTGATCCCCGGCGTGCCATGCCAGCCCTACTCCTGGGGCACACTGAGAAGGCGAATGAGACTTGGTGTGGTGGCTAAAAACAGAAGGATCAATATGAGTCCGATTTGTGTAGTGACACCCTGTAGACATGTACTAAACACATTAAAAAAATGAACTATATATTGTAATTATGAAATTAATCATAAAAACTAATAAATTAGATTGAGGAAGGGGAAATCAGTTAGGTTTTAATAAAGGTTAGGCTTCATATTATTTATTGTATATTGGGTGAAAATGTAGAATAAAGGACCTAAGACTGGGTGTGGTGGCGCACACCTGTAATCCCAGCACTTGGGAGGCTGAAAAACAAGAGAATCACTGCGAATCTGATCTACATAGTAAGACCCTATACCCTATACTAAAAACATTAAAAAAGAAAAAAAGAAGAAGAATAGAGGACCTAGAAGGCTCGAAACATAAATGACAGTAAAAGGGAAGAAATGCTAATTACTCTAATTTGATCAGTACATCCTGTGTGCATATGTTGAAATGTCACACTATATCCATTACTAAGTGTAATTATTGCATGTTAAAAGTTTTTTAAACAGATTAGTCTTCATTCTCATGATTAGTATCTTAAAGCAATTTTTGTTGTTGACTGGTTGATGTTATTTATCACTTTTCTTTGTACTTTCGTTAATTATTAATGAATGTAATTCTCTTAAATCTTATGCACACTAAGGAACCTAAGGAGCAGGGAACAGCACAATTTGAGTTTGACTCCAGACAGTAGTAGTGCAAGTTCTGGTGACTTCACCTGGCTCTGCTCCTCCTTACCTGGTCTTTCAGTAGGCCTCTTTAAATCTGGAGTTCTTTCTTAATTGGTTGGGCTTCATCTTGAGTTAGTCTTTATTTTACTCTCATCCCCTAAGAAATAGTTCTGGATGGTGTGTTCAGATCTTGTCTTTCAGAAGCTTTGCCTTTAATAGAGTGACATTCAAGCAAGGTTATCCTGCTCTTAAATATTGCTCTGAAGAAGTGTGTGCCAGTAAGACACTCGCATTGACCTGCTTGTAAATCTTCTTGGTGTGCCTTATCCTTAAAGGAGCTTAATGATAAGTGTTTGATTGTACTTAATTGTGTTATCTCATTTTCCTGGAGGATAGTGCTGCCATTCAACCTGTAGATTATTTTCTCACTTTCAAGAAATTTTCTTCTGAAAACTTTTAATACATCTTTTATGTTAATTGTATTTTTACTTCAGAGATACCAATTATTGTGTTAGAATGTCTGAAGTTAACAGACTTTTTTCCTTCATTCTTATAGGGCAGTATTTGAGTTCCCATCTTATTGATTGTGGTTTTGGTTTTTTTTTTGGGGGGGGGGGTTGGCTATTTTACAGTTTCTGTTTGCTGATTGAGGGAGTTTAAAGTTTTTTGGAAAGGAGGACAGGTTGGATGGTGGCACAGAATACAGGATAAACTCAAAATTTTAAATGTTTTGTAACTCCTTTGGAGAGGAAAGTATGCATAGAAATTTCTGACTTTATAAAAGCCTTTGGAGTAATGAAATGTTGAGCTTTTGCTGACCATGGAAAATATTGAGTGCATAGGAATATATGTTATTGGTAAGTTTATGTGGGTCTTTCTTTAAAGAATTGTTTATGCTTTTCTTTGCGATCTTTGTCCAATGAATAAACAAAATTATAGTAAATGTCTAAAGCAAAATTAAGTGCTCACTTTGGCAGCATATATACTAAAGCAAAAATTAAATGCTTATGGCAACATCAAATGCGCAGCCTATGGAAAAGCAAGTGTTTGCCTAGAAATGTTTTCTGGGTATTTGACAATCTTAATTTTAGAAGTTACTGATAGATTTTTTTTTTTCTATAACAGAACATTGATATCTTTGAAACTATTTTCATTATTGTATGCAGTCTTAAATTTAAGTCCTGGAATTTTAGATCTAATTCCTTAATAGACTTTCCCCCTATTACAGTGCTCACAACAGTGTTTCAACCCAGAATGAGTCACAACAGGTAAGATATTATTAAGCTTCAAGTCACTAGAACATTGTAGTTAAAGTAAATAATACTAATTTCATTTTCTTTTCCTCATCTTTTAAGTGGCTCAGTAATGTCTAAGCCCTTATTTTAATTAGATCTGTTATAAATAGAACAGATGCTCTATAAAACATTTTCTGTCCCTATTCAAGAAAAGTTAAGAAAATACTAATCAGTTAAATTATCATCTCTAAGGTAATGCATAAGATTTATCACTATATGAATAGCATTCTATTTTCGTACTCTTTGTTGAGGAATAGATATTTTCTCTAAATGAAATATATGATCTTTATCATTTTTGTCCAAAGGCTTGGGGTGTGAGACCTGCTGTGCCTGTGATTCCTTCCACATCCTCTGGTCCTGTGCTGGTAGAAATAGAGAATCTTCCACGGAGTTCTAGGATGGATCAGCACGACAGGAAATGGTTTGTTAACTTCTCAAAACAAATTATTGCTTGCTTGACCATTTCTAAATTATATGCTGTAATCTTAGAATACTTTAAATATGGTTAAAAGCAAATTATTCATATTTGTGGGGTGACAAGCATGTTGAACAGTCAGAAGTGAGGAAAATAAGGTATGTGCATGAAGAAGGGAGTGCAGTTGTCTAAATGAAGAACATAAGACAGCTCTCTTTGTTTTGATAAGCATGATCTGGGAGTGGTAAATGGTTCTCTGTTGAGAAGACTTCCCTGCCAGTCACTAGAAACCTTTCCCAGATCCGTAGGAAAATACGTTTGTTACATATTTTTCCATACTACATGTACAGCTTTATAGATACATTTTCTGCAGTAAAGGGTAAATGTAAAGTCAAAAAGGAAACATGATTAGTCATAAAATAAAGAATGAATTATATCATATTTTAGAGATTCAGAGATCATTTGATGAGAACGAAAATGTTTCTTTAGGGCTTGGGAGAGATAGTTCAGTGGCATAAGCACCTGCCTCGCAAGTGCAAGGCCCTAATTTTGATCCTTGGTACAAAAAAAAAAAAAAAAAGTTTATTTGACTTTCTGAGTTCTTTTTCTAGATTAGTAATACACAAATATGAATACTTTGCTGCTTATTGATGAGCTTAATTCATCCTTTCCCAAATATATGTGGCTTTGGGGAGGTTGGTGCTGCTTGGGAATTATTTGATTGAGTGGTCATGTTGGGTGTTTCATCTATTCAAATTTTGTGTGTTATTAAACCAACTTTGATGATTTATCGGATTTTTCTCTTTCTCTCTTGCTCTTGGTTTAGTACCTGAAATGTAATGAGTTTCTGTGGTGATCTCAAGGTTTTGGTCAGCTTTCTGTGCAACCAGTTCTTCCCTCATGGTGGTGGTTCAACAGTGGTTGGTGATTATATTTAGTCTTTGCTGTGAAATTTTTATTTTTCATTATTACTATTGGCTTAACTAACTTAAGGGTGCTTTGCTTTTGGAGGGATATTTTTACTTCAGTTCCAAAAACTTTCGATTAAGAGCAGGAGGATTTCACATTTTTTTCTTTTTCCTTGGTAGTATGGTAAGGATACTTTCTGCGTGAGGACACACACTTAGTTTCAAGAATGAGGCCAACAAATGTCAAATTTTAGTCTTAAAGCCACTTTTGAAAGTTTAATTCCTTACTGAAAATACAGCTCCAATAAAATTTCTTTCCATTGACTCTTATTGACAAAAAAAAAAAAAAAGAAATACTGAGGTATCAACAATGAAAGGACTGTTTTCATATGTTTGTCTCTTAATAAAGAATGAGAATTTGGCTAGTTTGCATCCTTTATTCTGATGTTGAATATTTGAGTTTTTCCACCTTACTAGATACATATTTAAATCTGTTTGATTTGTTAAGGCACTACCCAGTTTTTTTGCTACAGCCTCTAAAGAGTGAATGTGTGTAGTGAATCTGATTGATTTTCAAGAAAAATGAAATATTTGGAACTATGTATCCTCCTTTTATGTGGGTGTGCTGAGAACTGCTTTTCTGAAGTGGAGTAAAGTGATGATCCCTAAAATCTGATGAGCCTCTCTGTGTTAACAGGGCATGGAACTAAATATGCTTCTGACGTGTCTTGGAACTAATGAATTCTCCTGCCTTATTTAAAAGACATTCTGTATTTAATTCTGTGTCTCTGCATGCTTTGACTTAAAAGAATGTAGAACATTCCTCCTTTAGAAAGTGTTAAATTAATAAAGTTTGAAGATACTCCCTAGGTTTGAACACTTGGGCAGAGTAATGGGCCTTCTTCTTCTTCTTCGTCTTCTTTTTTTTTTTTTTTTTTTTTGGTCTGTTTGAGCAAGGGTTTTGCTGTGATGTTAAGCCTGACCTTGAGCCCATTTGTAAGCCTAGGATGGTCTCAAACTCACAACAGTTCTCCTGCCTCAGCCGTCCAACGTGCTGGAGTTACAGGTGTGCATCAGCGCCCCAGGCAAGCATCTTGTTGCAGACAATTTACAGCAAGTGTAATCTAAATCTACCCCCTTTGGAAATCTTTAGCTTTTTGTTGCTGGTATGTTTTAAATAGTATCGTTACTTTGGTGGGTGACTTGATCTATCAAAATTTATCACATTTATGAGGAAACGTTTCATGTAATGTAAATATGCAAATTGTTTATAAATGAGAAAACTAAATAGTAGTTACAAATCTTTTTTTAAAAAATCTTACATTTATAAGGGAGAACATAAACCTTAATCTTCTAAATTTTTAGAGACTTAAATTGGAAATCATTTTTGTGAATCTAATAATTTTATTTTAGAAAGATTATTATTGTTTTTTTAAAAAGCCTTCCAGTTTGTTGTGAAAAATCCTTGTCTGTTTTCCTGAAGAAAAAAGTTAAACACTGATATTTTTGTTGAGTTAGAAAAATAACACACAAAAAAAATATTTTAGAGATATTTTATATTTGGGATGATTTTTTTCTTTGTAGTGGTTTAAAATAATCTACTTCCTTTTGCCACACTGAGAAATTCTGACTTGCTGACCCTTGGCCAGTTTTCCACGGGAGGACTGATCACACCTAACCCATAAATGCACGTCTGCATATTTGAATCCTCTAGGCTTACTCTATAGCACTGCAACAAAAACTACCTAATACCTTGTTGAATTGGTTCTTGGGGGGGGGCTTCAAATCTCATCAGAGTATCTGTACCTGTTTTATTTCATTTTGATGTCCTTTGAACTTTGCCTGAAAGATACAGTGATTCTCTATTGTTAATTGGGAACACTGATTGAAAAAAAATTATACAGCTTCTAAAGTTTTTTCAATGTTCTTGTTTACTAAGTGATTTCAGTTTTGTGAAATGCCTTAATTTGGGAGATAATTTTCACAATTGCTCTTCTCTACAAATGCCTTTATCCTTGTGTAGCCTTCACCTTACAAAATATTTAATTCAGTAGATTGTGAATTTTTCTCTCTTTTTTTTTTTTTTTTTTGGCCAGATCTTGCTACGTAGTTTAGGCTGCCTTGAACTCACCATATAGCTCAGGCTGGCCTTCAAATTGCAACTGGCCTCCTGAGTTCCAGAATTAACAAATATGTATCACTATACTCTGGCCTTGAATATTTATTTCTTTTCATATGAACCTAAAAATTTCTACTTTTGAATTTTATTTTTTGGAGCAATAGCAGGGACAGATACAGAATGTCTTTCTCTCTGTGAAATTTCCTCTTTAACTAATTTATGTAGCTAATTCTGATTGCTCGCACAAATTGATACTTTTCCATTATGTGTAATTTCGTGGATTTCTGCCCTTTGTGCTTGAATATTGCTGCATAGAGTTGATGTCGGCAGCAGCTCAGAGCAATGGTGCAGGATAATCGCGTCGCTTGTTTCCTTATTACCTCTTTCACATCTGTTTTCTCCTGTTCCTGTTCACTAACTCTGCTCCCTTCCCACTCCCCAACCATCTAGGCTCTCTGCTGCCAGTGACTGCTGTCAACATGGTGGAAACCAGTGGAATCCAAGGGCCCTGCCCTCACCCCAGACCACACATAGAAACTACCCAGACTGTGTGTATGAGCACAGTGTGAAGAATGCAGGAGTCCGTCACGGTGCCCATTTTCCTGGCCACTCAGCCATGACTGAGATATGAGTGTTAAGCCTTTTAGTTAGGCCTTGGAACACTTGTCATCCAAGTCAGTGCTGTACATTTTCTGATATTTATAAAAGATTGATCGCATTAGGAATATTTGGGAGATTTTATTTTATGCTGAGTCACTAGTTTTATAGTGCTATTTCTGACTGCATTCTTCTGTGGAAAGGAAGAGGATCTTAAGAAGCTATATCCATCAATGACAATGACAGGTGTTGCCATGTTGGAAAGTATGTGTATGACACTGTGCCTTTGGAGAGAGTTTGTGTGATTTTAGCCTGTTAATAAAGTGACTCAGAATATCTCACATTAAGTTTATGTTTGGCTGCGAATTGTCATCCCACCACATATTATCTAAATACATTGAGATTTGAAGAATCTTTGTGTTACAAGCATGTCCAAAGGAAGCATGGTCAGTCATGCTATATCAGCTATTAATAGTATTTTTTTTATTAATAGTATTTTTGTAATACTGTTCTTATATACTGTTTTAATTTCTTAAAGCTTTTTTAGTACTTCATATTTTTAGGTTTTTTTTATTTTTTAAGAGAGTATAAAATAGGGGCTGGTGAGATGGCTCAGTGGTCTAAAGCACCTACTTAGAACAAGCTTAGCAAAAGCATCAGGGACCGCGGTTCAATCCCCCAGCACCACAT